CCCTTCTTCCTTCTCCTCTTCTTCCTTTCCCCTCCCTTCTCCTCTTTCACCTCTTCTTCCTCCTCTTTTTTCTCCTTTTCATCCTCTTTTCATTTTTCTTTCTCTTCTTTCTCCTTCCCTTCCTCTTCCCCATTGTCCTCCTCCTCCTCTTCTTCTTCCTCCTCCTATTCTTTCTTTTCTTCCTCTTCCCCTTCCTCAAAATATTCAGCTCTTCTTGCAGAGGTATCAGGGTGTTGTTGAAAGAGCAGTAACCCTGAAGTCAGAGGACCAGTTCTGAGTCCTGCCCCTGTTGCCTTACTGTGCATGATGTGGGTTTCAGTTTTCTCATCTGTAAGAAAATAAACAAACAGAAAAACCAACCAAAAAAATGAGGGGTTTGGATGGATGACCTCGAATGTCCCTTCCAGTTGTGAATCCCATGGTCCTAAGGACTGGTTCTCCCACCAGTGGCCCTACCCTCATCCCACAGGAAGCTGTTGCTACCTCTGGCCTGGAGTCCTTGGCCCTTGTTGGACGTGGCAGGGTCCTGCCTGGGCAGCATTTCCTCCAATCAGTCAACATTTATGAACAGACAGTAGTGAGCTGGACTTCCCAGGGGAAGTTCCCTAGGCAGCATCTCCTCCTTTTCTACGGATCCTCAATGAAACCTGGAACTCTGGGAGGCTGAGGCCTTGAATTCTCTCTCAGAGCAGCCAGAGCCCACGATGCCTGGGAAGCCAGGGGTAAGGAGCTGAAACTAGGTCTGGAAACCCTGGAAGATGTTACTTGTTCTCTTCTGCTCACTCCCTATCCCTCTTGCAATGGCCTCATTTCTTTTTGGGGGCCCATTTCTTCTTCTATTCCTGGCAGTGCTTGTGGACGCACCCCAGCTCTGGCCGCTGTCCTGCCTTTCAGCCTTTCTGTTTGTTTCCATTTGGAGACCCTTAGGGTCCCACCCTTCAGTTGCCTGCTTTTGCCTTGGGGACGCTGGTAGACTTAGATGTAAAAGGCACCTCAGAGGTGATCTAGGTCTCTTCCCTCCCCACCCCCCATTTTATATATATTGAGCCCACATAAAGTCACAGATAGACATATTGGTAAGGCCTGCCAGGCGCATCAGTTAGGATCTGAGACTCTTGGACGGCAGACAACAGCTCATTTCATTTAATGCAATTTTATTTCATTTAATAAACATTTATTTTGCTAGAGGCCTCGTGGAAGAAGCTGTATGTGTGTCATTGAGGGAGATTACAAAGCTGGGATAAGATATAGCTCCTCTTTTCCCAGGGCTTACAGGCTAGAAAGGGAATTGGGCAGAAACACAGACAACTGTAATACATGATAATGAAAACTAAGTATATTAGAAGGACGAAAATGAAGTGCCCTTGGAAGTCTGAGATAGAGAAGGCTCCCTGGGGGTGGCAGCATTTTAGTTGGGCTTTAGAGGAGCAGTGAGAATTTATCATTCATTCATTCATTCATTCATTCAAGCATTTATTAAGTGCCTACTATGTTCCAGGCACTATTCTCAGCACTGGAAGTACAAAAACAAAAAACCAAAAAAATCCTTGCCCTTAAGGGGCTTATAGTCTATTTCGGGTAAACGTACACAAATAAATATAAATATGTACGTAGTGAATTCAAAATCATTTGGGGAGGGGGATGTAAACAGCTGGAGGATACCTGACAGAGAAAGTTGGAGAGGTTCTGTCCAGAGGATGCACCCCTGTCCCACCCCTTCCCAGGGCTTCTGAGGAAGGTGGCTGACCTCTGGCTGGGGATGTTTGGTCAGGTGCCAGGCCTGGAGGATCTGGCCTTGGAGTTTTTTCCCAGACTGAGATTCTGAGAAAGTGTGACTTCACTATTTCATGAGTGCCAGAGCTGGAAAGGTTTTTAGAGATTGTCTGGGCCATCTCTTCCTACACCCCCCCCCTTTATTTTCCCCTCAATGATTATTTATTAAATGTCTTCTCATTTTTGTTTTTGGATTCCCAGTGGCTAGCACAGGCCTAGTCAGACACATAGTAGGCTCTTTATAAATGCTGGTGGACAGGTTCCTTGATGGCTAGGTGCTGGGGATATGAAGACAAAAATGAACCTGTCTCTGCCCTCAGGGAGCTTACTTACAGTCTATAGACCTTCTATACTGAAATACAAAATGTATGCAATGTAAATTAAATGTAATTTAGTGGAGAGAACTCGGACAACCGAGATGATTAGGAAAGATCTCGCGAGGAAGGTCGCCCCTGAGCTGAGCCTTGACAGGTCATGTTCCTGGTCCAAAGAGATGGAGATGAGGAGGGACAGCATTGCAGGCATAGAGGACAGTCTGGGCAAGTCACATACAGGGAGTTAGCTGGCAGACCAGTTTGGCCTGAATGCAGGGTATGTATGTGGAGGAGAGTAAAGTGAGCTCAGCCTAACATGGTAGATTAGAGCATGAATGTGAAGGAATTTAGATGCTAAGCAGAGGATCTTGGATTTTACCCTAGGGGGAATGAGGAACCCTTGAAGCTTGAGCAGGGAAGGGACCAGATCTGTGCTTTAGGAATGTCATTTTGCCATCTGGGTGGAGAATGACCTGGGGAAGGGGAGGAGTGAGCCTGGAGATGGAGGACCAGTGAGAAGGCTAAAGCTGTAGTACAGGTGAGAGAGTGATAAGGGCCTCAGCTACCATGGTACCAATGTCAAGGCAAAGAAGGAGGTGGATGAGGCTGGATAATGTGTCTCTAGAGCAAAAAAGAATGGGCAAGTCAGTGGATGTGGGGTGATGCTCCCATTTTATTGCAGGAGAAACTGAGGCCCAGAGACAGGCAGTGAATTTCATAAGTCAAGCAGTGAATTTGGAGCAGAGCCGAGGTGAGAAGCCAGAGCTTTTCAACCTCTAATTCTGTGCTCATAATACTTTCATCATATTACCCTTTACATAGAATCCTTCCTGAAAAGCCAAGACCTGAGTCTTGGAGCTGGGGGATCCTGGGGTCACATTGGGCTGGGTTGTTATAAATGAAGGGTCGTGAAGAGACACAAATCCTGGGCTGTGTGTTGGGAATGGTGGCTCTTAATGGATTAGTGTGGGCTCCATTAATTTTCAGAGACCTGGGTCTCTGTGGTGTTGATTTATGAACCCTAGAGGGGAGGCCATCTGGTCCCATTGGCAGACTCTGCTTAGGGCTTGTTGTCTCTGAGTCTGCGGCCCCAGGGAGAGGAAAGCCCACAAAGTCTCTGTGATCGGGACCCTGGAAATGAGGAGCACCTGCCATCTGGGGCCCTTTTGTCCAAAGACTTGTGTTCATTGCCTTGAATATGGCCAGTGATGAAAACTAGGACTCCTATTTATATCACACTTTCTCCCCCACCCTCCTTCTTTCCTTCTCTGCGCCCTCCTCCTTTCTCTTTTTTCAAACTTTATTTTCTTCAGGTAAGGAACAAGTCATAATAACTCTCACTTCCTCCTTTAAAGAATAGCATTGAGGCAGGCAGGTGGTACAGTTACCCCTTCCACATCGAGAAGGTTAGGGACGCAGTGCCCTCATGTTCTAGAAAATAAGCGTAAATTTTTTGGCCCTCCCTTCATACCAGACAAGAAGTCTGAATGTTTTCTTTTTCTTTTACGAGGTATTTATTGTAAATTTGGGTTAAGTATTTGGTCAAAGGCTCTGTTTTGTCTGCTGCTCCTACAAATCCTGCCCCCCCCAAATTCCCATTTAATTTCTTATGCCGACTCATGGATATATTGAAACTGAGATGGGGAAAGTCGAGATGTGTAAGAGATAACTGTGTCAAAGTACCTGACTTGGAGTTAGGAAGACCTGAGTTTGAATTTTGCCTTGGACATTAGCCGCGTGATGTTGAGCTGGTCAGATAGCTTCTGTCTCTCTGTAAAATGGAGTCATTGACCCAGGTCCTTCTTGCCTGCTCCAGAGAATGCCCAAAGGCTTAAAGTCTTAGAATAGATTTGCCTAGGTAGAAGGAATTTCCTCCTCAGAGACAATTAAATGAATGCAATTAGTCAGATTAAAAAAATGGTTAACAGCTCACGAGTAGATGGTATTTTAAGGATTTCAGAGCACTTGCATGATCTCATCTGGGTTCACAACAAACCTTTTGAATAGGTGCTATAGGCATATCCTCCTCATGTCATAAATGTGGAAACTGAGGCACATAGAAGTTAAGGAATTTCCGAGGTCATGAAGCTACTAACAACCAGTAATTGGAGAGGGTTTGAATTCAGGTTTTCCTTGCTCTAAGGGAGCCCCAGTCAGAGCTAAGATTTGAGCCTGGAAATTCCTGGTGACCAATGAAACCCTCTCCCCAGTACACCATTCTACTTATTCTCTCGAATGGGGACATGGAGGGCCAAAGAGGGTGAGGCTTCCAACTGGATGGCAGACAGGATGTTGAGCCAGCTAGAGAGGGAAAGGATGGTTAATGTTTGGCCAGAAAGAAGAAATATCCTGCCAGTTCCCAGAAGGTAGCTGGCCACCTTTTCTTCTTACGTTTCCTTCTTCATCCCAGGACCAGGCTTCCCTTACTGCTGATGTTGGGATCTGAGTGTTAGCTGGAATGTCCACTCCGGATTGGAGCAGGCAGGAGTCTTTGAGGGCTCATGGCGTTTGAAAGCTGCCTGGTGGCTTGGGCAGTGGGGAGATCTGCTATGGGGGCTGGAAGAGGGTGGGACAGTAGCTAACTCTACACGATCCACCTGTGGTTTATGTTTGGGTTAATGATTTGCAAAAGGAGGTGATCAGGCTCTTTCCTGGCTTGGAAGCTCCTCCTACATCCGATGGGGCAGCTGCTAGAGGTGAAGGCTGTAAGGGAGGTAGATGGTGGGTAGAGAAAGGCCCGGGGTGTGTGTTTGGGGGGCATGTGTGTGTGTGTGTGTGTGTGTGTGTGTGTGTGTGTGTGTGTGTGTGTGTGTGTGTCCCCAACCTTGGGATGCCAATGAAGCCTCTACAGGCTTCTCCATGACCTCCTTTCCCTGGCCTGTCTGACCACATTTCCTCTCTTTCTTCCAATAGGAGAAGGTGGTGAGCTGAGCATAGTCACAGGCAGATGGCTTCCTCAGATCCATCTCCTCAGCCTGCAGTAGGTACTGTAACCACCAGACTTTATTATTATTTTTTTTCTAATTGTGCTTCACATGTTGTATTAGAAGGGAGGGGGTCCTGTTTGGTTCCTAAGGGGCTATCATGCCCATCTCTGGAGCACAGAGCTGAAAAGTCAGTATGGATGAGAGTATGTGCCACTAGGTCTGAGGGTCTTTGCAGGCAATTAAAGACTCCTGAGTTTAAATCCTATTTCCGCCATGGACTTGTGTGAACTTCGTGAAGGCTGTCTCACACTTCATACTCAGTGGCTCCTCTACTGTGCTTCAGTTTCTCTAAAGCAGATCTAATTCAACCATTTATTCAGTACCTATCATGAGATCAGTGATAGGAAAAATACCTGGACTCATAGATACTGTCACCATTGCTACTGCCATGCCTAAGAGGCATTACTGTAATGGGCTCTGGCCTATGAAGTACTTTCCTCCAACAACCCCAGGATACAGGCAGTCTGAACATTATTACCCCCATTTTAGAGATATGGAACCTAAGAGACAGATACAGAGACTGGCCTATAGGTCATGATTTCAACTAAGAACAGATTTCAAGTTGGCCACTCTTCCAAGTGTGCCTAAATTTGTAGATTGTCAGAGCCAGCAGGGCTTGGGACCTTAGAATGTCAGGATGGTCAGTCCTCAGAAAAAAGAATGTCAGAGCTAGAAAGGAACCTTAGAATTGGGAAGGACCTCAGATCACAGAATGCTGGAGCTGGAAGGGGCTATAGGGTTCATCTCAGCCAGCTCCTTCCTTATACAGAAGAGGAAATGGAGCCAGGATTTGATCACTGTCCTCAAAGAGCTCACGGAGAGATAACAGGGGACAGAGATAAATACTGTAACTACTGCATAAAGGAATGATCAGCTTATGGGAATTCTGACTTGGGAAAATCAGGAAAAATTCATGGATGTCGTAATACTTGGCCTAGGCTTTGAAGGTAGGGTAGGATTTTTGACAAGTAGAAAAGTAAATTAGAGACATTCTAGGCTGGCCTCTAAAGACGTACAGAGGGAGCCAAGAGCTTGGGAAATTGTGGCTAATCTTCTGGAGGAGGAGTATAGTATATGTGACAAGGAGTCATGGGACATAAATCTGGAAGGGTCAGTTGCGTCCCATTCACAGAGGACCTTGAATTTCAGGTTGAAATTTTTACTGCTTTGCTCAGCAGGCAATAGGAAGTGATTGAATTATCCTATCAGAGTTCTGCTTGAGGAAGATTCTCTGGTGGCAGTATAATTAGTTTAATTTAATTCAGCACATATTTATTAAGTGGCTACTCTGGGTCTGGCACTGTGCTTGGCCCTGGGGATACAAAAATGGAAATTGAGCAGTCCCTGCCTTCAGAGAGCTTACATTCTATTGGGGAATACCACAGGGTCATGAGTAAATGAATATAGATTATTTATAAAGTAGGAAGAAATGAAGAAGGGGAAAGAATATTTACTCTGCAGGCAGGGGTCCTGTGTTCAGGTTTGACCCTCAAGTTTACTACCTGTGATCTGGGGCAAGTCAATGGACTAAAAATATGGTGGTTGGGCCAGTTCTGAAGTTCCTTTCCGATCCAGGTCTATGGTCTTGTGATGCTAATGCCCAGTGAATTCAGCAATTGGAGAGTGCTAATAACTGGGGGATGGAAGTGGTCCAGAGAAAGCCTTGAGTAGGAGTCAGGATCATGAGCCAGGATTCTACCAGGCAGAACTGAAGAGGGATTGGATTAAATGCGAATTTAATGCAACAAGCCTTTATTATGCACCTACTATATGCCAAGCATTGAGATAGGCATTGGGGATACAAAGGTAAAGGTGAAATGATTCCTGTTCTGAAGGAGTTTTAAATCCTACTGGAGTTCTCTATCTGGTGAAGCATTTGTGCAAACACATGGAGGTGGGAGATGACTAAGGGAACAGTTGGCAGCCCACCTTCACTAAGAGAATAATATGAGATAAGACTGAAAAGCTAGGTGGGAGCTAGGTAGTTGAAAGCCTGGACTGGAGCTGGGAGAGAACAGACATGGGGCGACCAACATGGAGGCTGCGATGGTGAACGATCCCTTCCTTTTGTCTGCTTTCCGGGTGTTGGAAAGAGATTACATCAGTTAAAAAAAAAGCATTTAAAGGTCTTAGAGTAAATGATATTCGGGAAAACCCAGCAGATTTAAGACTCCCTCACTGGGTCTCAGTTTCTCATCTGTAAACTGAGGATTATCTTTATCTTTTTGGTCTTTCCTCTGTGTATGTGTGAGTGTGTGTGTGTGTGTGTGTGTTTGATTTATGAGTCAGTGATCCAAAATGTAAGACTTTGTTCAGTCATTTCAGTCCTTTCAGGTTCTTCATGACCTCGTTTGTGGTTTTCTTGGCAAAGATACTTGGAATAGTTTGCCATTTCTTTCTCTAGCTCATTTTACAGATGAGGAAACTGAGGCAAATAGGGTTAAGTGACTTGCCCAGAATCACACAGCTAGTAAATATCTGAGGCCAGATTTGAACTCAGGTCCTCCAGACTCTGGTCTTGCCCAGGACAATAACTTACTTCTTCAGTTATCTTAGAGCCTGGGAGATATGGTTGAAGTTCCACTTCTAATACCTACTGGTTAAGAGACCCTGGACAGATTGCCAAACCTCTCACTGCTTTTGACAGCTTCTAAGATTATAAGTTGCAGAAAAGATGATGATTTGCATGGGTAGAGGGGATTCCCTTGTCCAGTGAATTTCTACACCAATGAAATCTTAAGTCCAGTCCCTGTCTTTAATACCGAAAAGGTTATTCATTAACCAGTGAGAGAAATGCCAGAGTTCTGATTATCTAAAAATATCAAAGGAAGTAATTATTCATTTTTCAGTAAACATAGACTCCAACATAGTGATGTCATTTTGGTTCTCAGAAGGAAGAACAACAATCTACCAAACATTTGCTAGGTGGGAAGTGGGAGTGGGGGAGGGGATAGAAAGATAAAAGATAAGAAGTCTCTGTCCTCAAGGAATTTCAGTAATACTAATAGCAGCTAGCATTTACATGGTGCTTTAAGGTTTACAAAGCACTTTACATATGTTATCTCATTTTATTTTCACAATATCCCTGGCAGGAAGGTGCTTTTATTATACCCATTTTACAGATGGGGAAGCTGAAGCTGATAAATGTTAAGTGACTTGCCCAGAGTCACATACCTAGTAAGTATCTGAGGCTGGATTTGAATTCAGGTCTTTCTGACTCCAAATCTACTGTGCCACCCATAGGGTACTATGACACATATATACATAGCAAGAGAAGGGGGCCCAAGAAGAATATTCCAAGGGTCACATTCAAGTTCAGAAAGTGGAAGGATGGTGAAGCCCTTCCTTAGTCACTCAGGGAAAAAAGACTGAGGAGGCAGGAAGGGATAGAAAGAACCAGGAGAGAGCTATGTTATGGAAGCCAGAGGTTACTTAGGACAGACGCCATACTGAATACTGCAAGAAGGTCAAGAAAGATGGGCCAGATGGAGCCCAGTAGTTGAGAGATCAGATTTATTGGAGTGATGGGATTAGAAGCCAGGCTTCAAGGGTCCAGAAGTGGAGCACGGGCAGTAGAGGAATGGAGCCTGCAACTGTGGATTGCTTATTTGTAAAACAATTGGTGTATTTTGTTTGGGCTCGGTAGACACTTCCTAACAAAGTTCATTCACTGCAAAGTTAAGCAAGCTTCCTAGTGGAATGATGACCTTGACAGTAGATGTAACTTTTTATTCTTGTCATTAAAAGAAGGAAAGGCTGTGTATTCTCACTTTAATAATTTGGCACAAACTTTCTTGTTTTTGGCCCAAGTTTGGTTTCCTTTTATTGCTGTGTAGAGGGACTTTTCATGGGATTATGGATGTGGAGCTAGAAGGGGCCTTAGAAGTCATCAATCTAAACCTGCTATTTTCTAGACAAGGAAACTGAGGCAGACAGAGGTTACATGACTTCCCTGAGATTGAGCAGCTAGGAAGGGCCTGAAGCAAGGCACACATTTCTGAATTGAGGCGCTTACACCTCATACATCTTGTCTTCTAGGGGGTTGGCAGGAAAAGGAATGGGGAGAATTGTTCAGGCTGAAGCAATGTCAAAAAAATTTTTTGTAAGCATTTAATCTATGCTAGGTATGTTTTAGGGATACGAAGGAAGGCAGAACCAGGCCCTGCCCTCAAGGAGCTTCCAGTCTAATGGAGGAGACCACATGGCAATAACCAGTTGCATGCAAGAAGGGGAAGGTATTAGCAGCTGAGTAGATGGAGAAGAGCCTCCTCCAGAAGGGGGTATTTGAGCAGAGACTTGAAAGAAGCTGGTGATTTTAAGAGGTGGAAGGAGGGTGTCCCTGGCCTAGGGTGGTGACTGCAATTTGTGCAAAGGCATGGTGTTGGGAGATAGAGATCTGTGGGAGGAATAGCGAGGTCAGTATTGTTGGATCTTCTAGGTCAGGGAAGGGAGTTCAGTCTAGGACACTAGCAAGTAGGAAGGGGCCAGGTTGTGAAGGGGTTCAAATACCAAACAGAGAATTTTATATTTGATCCTGGGGATAATAGGGAGCCACTGCAGTTTATTAAACTTATTATTTTTATATTCATTAATACATTTTATTATTTTAATTAACATTAATTATGTTATTAATGTTATTATATAATATATTAATAAATAAATATATTTATTAATAAATTAAATTTATTAAATAAAGGGTGACATGGTCAGACCTGGGCTTTATGAAAATCACTTCGGCAGGTGAGTGGATGGGACTTGGGGAGAGACTTGAGGAGGTTATTGCAATAGTCCAGGCAAGAGGTGATGAGGACCTGAACCAGGATGGGAGTTGGATGGGCTGAGAGAAGGGTGTTTCTATAAGAGATGTTGTTTGGTTAGAAATGAAGGCTTTGACAATAGATTGGGTAAGTGGAATGAAGGTAGAGGAGTCAAAGAGGCTCTCCTAGTTTGTGTCTGACTCTTCATGACTCCATTTGGGGTTTTCTTGGCAAAGATAC